AAAAATTAATATTTACAAATAATATAAAATTTTATGGAAGATAAATAACAAATATTTATATAAATATATAATTTTTATACGTGGTAGAACCATGCTGCAGCTAAATTAGTAGTATAATTGTAGCACGAATGGGTCAGCTCGACCGGGGAAGGACCACGCACTCACAGAATACCAGCGTAAAATAGCAGCTTAACCTTTAGAGAACCGGAGACCCTATTTACTGAAAAAGAGGCATTCCATCTTAACCCTCACGGGTGACAAAGCATCTGCATTTTGATTCGCAAAGGAGGATAGATGTAGATGTCTATGGGCCACAGCAACCACTTACCATCAGGTGGACTGTGTACTGGTTTGTCACCCTATCCTATAAAAATATATAGCACTTCTAACAGAACAATATAATTACATAATATATTTGTCAATATAACACAAGATATTACGTATATAAATAATTAAAATATTACACAAGTTAACAAAAATAAATAATGTTTCATTTTTCTCTTTGCAAATCATCATCATCATTACAGCCCTTCACAAGTCCACTGCTGAACATAGGCCTCCCCCAAAGAATGCCACAAAGCACGGTCCTGAGCCACCTGCATCCATCGACTTCCTGCATATCTTACCAGGTCGTCACTCCATCTAGTGGGGGGACGCCCTACACTTCGCCTGCCGGTACGAGGCTGCCACTCGAGAACCTTTCTTCCCCATCGGTTGTCGGTTCTTCGAGCTATATGGCCGGCCCATTGCCACTTCAGCTTACTAATCCGTTGGGCTATGTCAGTCACTCTAGTTCTACTGCGGATATCCTCATTTCTGAGTTTATCACGCAGAGAAACTCCGAGCATAGCCCTCTCCATAGCTCGCTGAGTGACCTTGAGCTTCCTCATCCAGGTCATCATTCCCCATCCAGGTGTGACATGGACATTAAACATGATCTTTGTTTTGTCCATGTTCATCTTAAGACCTATCCGTTGGGAAACACTATTGAGGTCATTGAGCATAGTGCTTAAGTCCTCCAGCAATTCTGCCATAAGGACTATATCGTCGGCAAATCGAAGGTGAGTGATGTACTCGCCATTGATGTTGATACCGTATCCTTTCCAGTCCAGAAGCTTGAAAACATCTTCCAATGCAGCGGTAAAGAGTTTCGGGGATATGACGTCACCCTGTCTTACACCTCTCTGCAATTGGATAGGTTTCGTACTCTGGTTCTGTACTCGGATAGCCATCGTAGCCCTACTGTACAAGCACTTCAACACTTCGATATACCGACAGTCAACTTGGCATCGCTGAAGGGACTGCAGCACCGCCCAAATTTCGACGGAATCAAAGGCTTTCTCATAGTCAACATACGCCAGACATAGTGGCAAATTGTAGTCCTCGGACTTCTGTACAATTTGCCGAAGGGTATATATGTGGTCTATGGTGCTAAAGCCTTTTCGGAAACCGGCTTGTTCGGGAGGCTGGAAGTCGTCAAGTCTGCGCGCGAGACGATTCGTAATGACTCTCGAAAACAGCACGTAGACGCGGCTCAGAAGGGAAATCGGTCTGTAGTTCTTCAAGAGAGCGTTGTCGCCTTTCTTGAAGAACAAGACCACCGCACTTCTGCTCCACGCCTCCGGTGTAATGCCACCATGGAGGACGGAATTAAAGAGCTTCTGAAGGACTTCAAGTACCGGTTTTCCACCCGCTTTCAGAAGCTCCGCTGTAATTCCATCCTCGCCTGGGGCCTTGCCGTTTTTAAGGTGCTGGAGAGCCATTCTAATCTCGCTCAGACTGACGTCCGGGATATCATCGGAATAATGTCGGATAAGACTCGCTCTTGGATCGTTACTCACACTTGCGTGCGGCTCCAACGATGACGTGTACAGCTGCCCATAGAACCTCTCAATCTCACTCAAAATCTCAGGTGCCCCGGAAACGATGCTGCCACATTCTGTCTTCAGCTTTAACAGTTGGCGCTTTCTGGCAGACAGATCCCTGGCAAAGACTTTGGAGCCTTGGTTCCGCTTCAATCGCTTCTTCAATACGAGCTGTATTGAATTTGCGTAAGTCCCGCCGCATGCATTTGAAGATCTGTCTGTTCAGTTGCCTGTATGCTGTTAAATCTGTTGAAGAATGTAGCTTCATCTCCCGTCTAACAGCCATGAGATTAAGAGTGTGATCGGAGAGTTTTTGTGTTCTTCTGCGGCGGGTCTTGCAGAACTTAGCTCCGACCGCATGGACAGTTTCCACGAGCTTGTCATTCAAATCGTCCACTTCATTGCAGTCTTCTAGGCACTGAAAACGGTTTTGTAACTCGAGCTGAAAGGTTTCGGGACTTTGGATTAGAGCACGAGGGGGACGGAGCGTTGACTTCATTAGACGAGACCTCTCCAACTTAACATTTAGGTTCAGTGTGCCTCTAACCATTCGGTGATCGCTGCCGGTTTTCACCCTCGCGATCACTGAGACATCACTGAACAGTTGTCGTCTGGTCGTCATAATGAAGTCAATCTCATTTTTTGTTGAACCGTCGGGGCTCGACCAGGTCTACTTCCTGTGGGGCCGCTTCCTCCATGAAGTCAGCCAACTGCTGGCCCCTTGGGTTCCGTTGCCCTATTCCAAATTTCCCTACTTTCAGCTCACCGTTCTCTCTTGTGCCTAGTTTTGCATTGAAGTCTCCCATTAACACCGTATATTGGGTTTTGGAGGAATGCATGGCTCTAGAGATATCCTCATACATTTCCTCCACCTCCTGATCGGGGTGTGCCGAGGTTGGTGCGTAAACCTGTATGACCTTCAGCGAATACCGTTTGGTGATTCTGAGTATAAGGTACGCAACCCTCGTCGACACACTCTCAATCTTTACAACGTTGTTAACGAGAGACTTGTGGACGATAAATCCGACACCTCCTTGGGACAGATGGTCGCCCTCCCGGTAATAGAGCAAGTTGCCGGATTCGAGGATTACCGTGTCCTCCCCCTCTCTTCGGACTTCGGATAATCCTATAATATGCCAGCGTAACTTGTCTATCTCTTCTTCCAGCTCCACAATCTTCTCGTCAGTCCTCAGGGTGCGTGCGTTGTATGTTGCCAGGTCGAGTCGTCGTAGGTGGCAACCGAACCTCCACCGGAGATTCTTAGCACCCCCTGCCCCGCCGTTACCATGGTCGCCACCGTAGCCAGGAATAGCGGGGCCGCCGGGGACTGGGGGCCGTTTATTATTGTCATTGCTCATGGGGGGTATATTATATTTGCAAATAGTTAATAAATAATTATAAACGCAACCTAAATATTAATTCTATGACGATGTCTACTATTATATTTTCCCCACTTTTTGGGGAAAATGTCATTAACTTGCAAACATTATTCATTTGCTTGTGTGCGTGTGGGCAAACGTTTTTACAGGCCGCTTATGCACGCATTCATTCTGTTGTTGCTTCAACTTTGAACGGAATTTTGAATGTCACTATCACTCTATGTCTAATTACTCTAAGCTTGCATGAACAATTAGGTGTAAAAAAGTTGTTTTCCCGATGGATACCGCATTCGCTCTGTGAAGAGCAAAAAGCGGCTCGCGTTACTTGGTGCGTCAGAACTCTCGAAAGATTCCACGCAGGATCCTCAAATGCTGTATAAAACATTGTATCAGGTGACGAATCCTGGATATACGCGTACGAACCCGAAACAAAAAACCAGTCACGAGTTTGGGTGTTCGAAAATGAGTTAAAGCCAACAAAAATTGTTCGTTCACGGAGTGTTGCAAAAAAAATGGTGGCCACGTTTGTCTCCAAAACCGGCCATGTTACGACTATTCCTCTTGAGGGACAAAGAACGGTTAATGCAGAATGGTATTCTAGCATTTGTTTGTCACAGATCGTTTCTGAACTCCGTAAAGAGAACTGCAACCGCCGCATCATCCTCCATCACGACAATGCGAGTTCTCACACCGTACACAGAACAAAAGAGTTTTTAGAGCAAGAAAACATAGAATTATTAGACCATCCGCCGTACAGCCCCGACCTAAGCTCTAATGATTTGTATACTTTCCTTAAAATAAAGAATAAATTGCGTGGACAGATATTTTCATCACCTGAAGAAGCTGTGGACGCCTACAAAACGGCCATTTTGGATACCCCAACTTCCGAATGGAATGGTTGCTTCAATGATTGGTTCCATCGTATGGAAAAATGTGTCAAATTTCGCAGAGAATACTTCGAAAAGCAATAAATACATTTTTAAATAGTAATGTTGTGTCACTTCCTTGATTCCCGAAATTTTCAGTGCCGCTCGTACATGTGAATATTGATTTTGTTCAAAATAAGCTACGATGAAATTAGAATAAAATTCTAATATATACAACATACAACTGCACAGATAAATATTCTATATTTGAAAACACGATTTCAATAAAAATTAAATTCTATAAAACCGCAGCGAAATTCTATGAAATTAAAAAAAATACCTTCTCGATTCTCGAACAGTTTTAGATGCCAATGCACGGAAACAAATGCTCTGTTTACTCAACAAAAGCCAATACAAATAAGGCGGAACCTTGCTTACGAATTTAGTCGTAATTTCTATTTGCCTTCTCTATCTGTGACTTATTAATGCAAATTTATTGCGTTAATTTAAAACTGTTCGTTATCTAATAACGTATATAATACGTGAATTGTAGGTACAATATAATTAGAAGCACAATTTATAATATTATATTTGTTGTACCATAAAATGTCCGTTTTGTATGTTCAATAAAAAAGGTAAAAATTACATTTTAACAACAAGAGAGCAAAAAGAGATTTAATATATGGTCATTGAAGTAACACTTACGTACGTACATTATAACTCAATGTATATGGTATGAAGTTTCAAGGAGCTTCATTATCGTTTAAAGGTTAAGAAATATAAAATACCTTATTTCTAATATTAACAAAATTAATTTTAACTTTTTAGTTATTTTTATTAAAAACTAATAAGAGGTTGTTTTTAAATGAAGATTTCGTTTATTTATTTACCTTGTAAGGATTATGCGTTGGTCTATTTGAAGTAGACAATACTGGGTTAGATATGTGACCCCTTCCTTGTTGATGGGTGATCTCTAGCGCTGACCGAAGTAAATCGACCTTTGACGCTGAGCCTTGCGGAGTCTTGAGCAAAATCTCAATGTTGCTGCAGCGTCTCTGACTGTTACTGCCGCTACGGCTTCTGCACAACTCGTTGATATCCCCTTGTGATAGCTGGAAGCAGTGTCGCCATGTACACGGTAATTACCGTAGATACACAATAATCAAGCCGTTGTAGCTAGAATAAATAATAGTACTACTATGGGGCCGTGGGATTGGTTTCCGTTTTTTATTGGTCACAAATTCTGTAGACGTCCCATGTAGGTCTGAGACTTATATGTCAACAAAACATAAAATAAATACAATAAATAAAGTATTACCTAAAGAAAGAAAGAAATTATAAGTTAAATTTAACCGATTTAGTTGTGTGGTGTCAAAAAGGATCCCACACCACAGGTTTTCAGTCGGGATTTTTATTGACTCCACGAACAACCGAACATAATATTATTGTGTACTCATTATAAATAATAATAGTAATAAATAAATTTAGAAAAATTCTAATAAAAATTATCCGATTAAACATATATAAATTAAAAACAAATACAAAAAGTAGAACATACTAGAGTGATCGGAATGTATTATTAAAACTTTACTTACTCTAGCGCGTGAACTTCTACGCAAGGAGTGTAATGAACCTAAAGGATTAAAACGAGTGATAATATGCAGTCTCTCAAGTGAAATCATTGTTTCGGCATCCTTCCTCAGCGGTTCTCCGTTTAATTTGTCACCTTCTCCGCTTTCTAGAAAGATGTGAAGTAATTAATTACATACTACTTTCAGAAATAACCTAATTAGATTGTTGAATACTTTCTTCTTCTTCATCAATCTTAAGTCCACCACTTTATATGAGCCTCTCCCGTTCCAGTTCTGGATATTTCTCCTAATCGTCATGCTTGGCAGGTGTATTGACGATTGCAGTACCTTGTTTTTAAACGACATCAAAAAGGAAGAGGTTCTCAACTCGAGTGCATGTTTTTTTTTGTATGCATGTCACGCGATATCTTCGGAAATTTTGAAGCAATTTTGATGATACTTTTTTTATGAAATAGGTTATACTTTAAGGGTGTTCCCATATAAATTTGGAGAAAAAATTCGACCCCTAAAGATGGCAAATAAATAACTTCTTTTTTAAAAATTTGAAGTGGGTTTTTAATTTTTGTTAAAAGTTATAATTATTAAAGTCAAATTATTTTACATCTGACGTAAACTAAATTGTGTACTGGCATCTATCAGAAGCCATAAGATTTTTGTAACATTTCCCAAAGTTGCATGTTACGACACCTACGGGATGGAAGGTTATTAAAGCGATAATAATGCCTATAATAGAGTTGTTCCTATCGCTCCGCAAGGTTTGTTATGGCCCGTTAATTTCCATCCTCATTTAATCGCTATTTCTGAGATGTTGTGTTAAAAATCAAAAGTTTAAATTATTCAAACATGTTGGGTATTTTTTTTTTTATTTTTATTAATCTCACCTGTATCCGGTTCACAAACTTCGCGCATACTAGACATGTTGATTTTCCTCAACCAGAAGTAATGCAAAATACCGTACAAGATGCCACCTAAGAAAGCAATCAGGCCCATGTAACGAAAAGCTTCCCTAGTACCAAGAGACGCTATGAGCAGACCACCTCCGAAACTGCCACTGCCTCTTCCTGTGAACATTACAGAATATTTAAGCTTGAATAATTTTGTGATTTTTAAAAAGGAGAGTGTTCTTAATTCCCTTGTATGTTTTTTTATAGTACATACTTATAAGGTGTTTGTTTGTCACAAACGAACACACATAATGCTAAGTGGATTATGTAGCCCATAGACATGTGTCTATGTCACATCTATCTAAATATCTGACCTCGATTAAGAATCAAAATGCAAATGCGTGAGGACTAAGATTTTCACCATATGAAACCTAGTAGCATCAAGCTGCTAATTCACGCTGCTATTCCGTGAGGAAACGGTCCTTTCACAGTCGGGCGCGACTCTATGGGCGCGACCCATTCTTGCTGGAACCATAATATAGTGGCTCTACCGCATATAAACGTCGATATTGTAACGCAATACTTCGTACTTAATTGAACAATTTCGCTAATATTACTTCGCTAGTATTACTATATATTTTTCCTTTTATCGCTAATACCTATTACCTTTACATAAGCTACATTAATTTAAAAATAATACATTCCAGTTCCACATCAATCAGTCCCTTAAATTAATATTGTTACAATTATTTAATTTATATATTTATTTTAAATATTGCACATTTTATAAATATTTTTTATCAAATGTATTTAATAAATAACTGTGGGGCGGCACCCCACTAGATGGAGTGACGACCTGGTAAGACATGGTAAGAGATAGATGCAGGTGACTCAGGATCGTGCTTTGAGGCGTTCCTTGGTGGAGATCTATATTCAGCAGTGGACTTGTGAAGGGCTGTAATGATGATGATGATGATGATTTAATAAATTACAGTTAACAGGTAACAGTTTTATCATCATAAATGATTTTAACGAAATTCTCTTAAATAATTTTAAAAGTTCCATTGTCCATATGTAAACGTTTGTAACTAAAAGAAATAAACAACTGCCGAACGATGCGACCAATCTTTCGGTTATCAATCAAAACTGAACTGCGCAGTATTATAGTGCCACGTTTGTATTACGTTATGTATGTACTAAAAACGTAACGGTCATACTCGTACAAGCGCTAAGAATAAAGAAATCTTTCAACGCACTGTCAGATAAACAAAGAAATAAGTACTCGTACATTTACAAAATAACAAAACATTCAGACCTAAACACTAACTTCATAATTTTTTTGTAAGAGAATCCGCCTCGCCTGATATTCAAACCAGAGACTGACAATAAAGATACGTTGCGGTCGTCACTTTGTTTTTAAACAATGTAATAACTGATAATACTGAATATGATAATAATTTATATTTTACACTTACACGATGTTATAATAACACTGGTAAACAGTGATTTTCTTGCCCCTGATATTTGAGTGGTTTTAGAAAGATTTGATGTCAACGACCCCAAGAATAGGCATAGATTTTCAAAACTTTTGTTTTGTTGTGTTTGTTTGTTTGTTTTTATTTTCGTCAACAATATTTTTTGTTAAGCTATATAAAAATCATAATCATTACAATCCCTCACTGAATCATATTTGATAATTTGCCTCACCAAACAATTGTTACGAAACACCTGTATCCAGCGACTTCTTCTATGTCTTGCTAGGCTGTCACTCTTATCTATTAAATATAATATTATATTCTTATATAGATACCGCTTACCCAAACTAAAATGTGCCATCCCTAACACGCCAATGAGTGTTGCCAACAGGCTTTTCGGAGCCAGCATGGCGCAGTAAGTAGCTGCCGCGACCCACATTAAGTGCACTGATAATGATTCCATGGCTTCAAACGGAAAACACCACCAAGAGTTTCTGAAAATTAATTTTACCTTAAGATTATAGAAATAAAACAACCAAGATAACCAATCTTAACTTGTTTTCAAGAATTTATTTCTAAAGAAAAAAACAATTCAGAGAAAATTAATATTTATATAATTAATGCATATTAATGTATTTTGCAGTGACGACAAAAGAAACTGAAGTAGGAGATGGGTAGCAGCATCATTCTGACAGTGACTCAAAATAATACAAAACTGCGGTTGGCAACCGCCTATCAAACTTGGGAACTATGGCAGAGACAAAAATGGAGGCCTCTTTTTTTATAGGATCGGGTGACAAACGAGCACACAGTCCACCTGATGGTAAGTGGTTACTGTGACCTATAGACATCTACATCTATCCTCAATAAAGACTCAAGATACAGATGCGTTGTCACCCGTGAGGACTAAGATGGAATGCCTCTTTGCCAGTAAAAAGCGTCTCCGGTTCTCTACACTCACCATACGAAACACAGCAGTGCCAAGCTGCCATTTTACGCTGGTCCTCTGTGAGAGCGCGGTCCCTCTCCGTTCGAGCCGACCCATTCGTGCTACAACCATAATATAGCTGGAGCATGGCTCCACCATGGCCTCTATACAGCAGTGGGCTTTGATAGGCTCTAATGATCATTATACCGCTCATTAATAGAATGATAAGACAATCTGGTATGTCTGATATATTGCATTTCACTACAATCATCAACATGATATAATCATCAAAATAATCCTATACGCTGATGACATGAAAATTTTATGCCCCATCACAAATACTTCTGACTGCTGTGATCTGCAGCGTGATCTCAATGAACTTGAACGATATTGTTCACACAATAAACTTGACTTGAATGTGTCCAAGTGTTTTATCCTTACATTTACCCGTAAACCCAATCCCATTGTCTTTCACTACAAATTACAAAACACTAGTATAGAGAGATTACAATTAGTAAAGGATCTTGGTGTATTTTTCGATTCTAAATTACTCTTTGATGCACATATTGAGAATATAATTACAAAAGCTAATAGAGCACTTGGATTCCTTTTGAGATTTTCCACCGATTTTCATAATATTAAAACATATAAGATACTTTATTGCGCTCTTGTTCGCAGCCATTTAGAGTACGCCTCTCAAGTGTGGAACCCAAATTATAACATTTATATAGATAGGATTGAGCAAGTACGTTACGTTACGTTACGTTACGTTTTCTACGTTTTCTGCAATTTAAAACGCAATTTTACACTGATAACTACATTTCGCGATGTAAAAAATTTCATATTTTGCCTCTGCACGAACGTAGGCGCATAGCAGATATGATTTATCTTTTCAAATTGGCAAATGGTAATGTTGACTGTCCGGAGCTACTGAGTAAGCTAGGATTTACAACAAGAGGTACCCTCTTAAGAAAGCCTCGCTTACTTCACGTGCCGCATACCCGGAATAAATACAGGCAAAATTCTTTTATGATACGTGACTTGGATCTGTTTAATACCAGTGTTTCTCAATTAAAAAATATTTTAGCGCAAAAATTCTTTTGTTGAGTGTTCTTCTCTTTAATTTTGTTAATTTACTGTATTTGTCTTAATCGATGTTTATCTTTTACCGACTAGAATTATTGTTTTTAAGTTAATATTGCTTATAGGTGAAAACTTTTAAATGGCCTTCTAGTTGTTATTCATTTATTTATTGTTAATGTTAGCTGTAAGTTTTCCAAAAAGAATAAAATAAAATAAAATAAAATGATCATAATTGCAGCCTCGACCTAAAGAGACCTCATCCATACCCAAAAACAGATAGCTGCAAGCACCGCCGTTGAATAGTAGGCTTGAAGATTCAAGCCTGCCATTCAAAAAAACCGTTTTACTTTTGCGGTTAAAATGTTAATTTTAAAATTCATGAAAAACTAATGCAATATAATTATTATATATACAATAATGTTAATAGTCCTTTCTTCCTTCTTTTATGTAGATTTTTATGATGGTTAATTCATTATTCATGCATTCATTCATTCAGTGAAAAAGTTAAAGTTAAAGTTACAGCCTATATACGTCCCACTGCTGGGCACAGGCCTCCTCTCATTTTTGGGAGGGTTTTAGGGCAAGGAAGTGTCCTCCGCGCTGCCCCAATGCGTTTTAGGAACTTCACATCTCTTCGAAATACTTTTTTTTTCTTATTTCCCAGACATGCAGGTTTCCTCACGATGTTTTCCCACACCGCTGAGCACGTGGTAAATCAGCACTTAAAATTGCAATTAACAATTTCATTGGTGCCAACGGGTACTTCAGTTATTACAACTCCTTAAAACTCCACTGCTGAACATAAGCCTTCTCCTATTAATAAAATATTAAAAAAAATCATTTTCCAGTCGAAAAAACGTGAAATTAAATGAGCTGAATAAAGCGCTAATGTATGAATATACGAGTATAATTGACACGAGTGTAATGACAAAAATTACACAAACAAACACAAATTAAAATAGATGATCTCTTCGGCTTTCAGTTTTAGCAAATTTTTTCAAAATAACATTATAGCTGACACAATTCGCTATTTCAGCAGATAGCTCATCTTACTTTTAATAATTTTAACTCGAACAAGCTTCTCATAACAGAAGCATTCTTTTTTCTTTTAATTGGGACTCAATTTTGTAACTAATTTATTACAAACCATCAAGCTTCTACATCGCTTTATTTAAATAGTGTATTACGGTAATTAAATCCAGATACAAAATGAACATATTGCCGCAATTTAATTATATTGTTTACACGTAGTAAAATCTCGTACCACACGTGTATTGCAACAACAAACTCAAAAATTAACATTTCGTTCAAAACTGCTTCCCAGTCACTTAGAGTTTAGGAACCATCAGTTTTATTTTTCAAGTTATTCACGGATTCGATAATATCACCGATTCTACTCTCCCATCGTGATTCAGACAGAGATTTTCCAATTAAAAATAAAAGTTAAACAGAAGGAAATGGAGGCAGTTCATATATATAAGGACTACGGAGTCTTTATTAATTTGTTACTTAATTATTATAATGTGCACCTTTATTTTTTGTTTTTTTATACATATTTTGACCTAATAATCGTGGATATAATAATTCTGTGAATTCGCTTCACTTCCTTTGCGAGGCCACCTAAGGCGCGAGGTCTTCGGCGGTCGTCAACGTTGCCGCAATCGGCAACGCCTAACGCCGCCACTGACTCGATTCTCTCATCTATCCTCGATTAAGAATCAAAATGCAGATGCGTTTGTTACCCCTGAGGACTAAGATGGAATGCTCCGATTCTCAACACCCACCATACGAAAAACAGCAGCATTAAACTGCTGCTTCCTCCCCGGTCGAGCCGACCCATTCGTGCTACAACCATAATATAGTTGCAGCGTGACTCTACTACGTATGAAAATGCGGTGATTAATATTGTATGTTAATATACGTAATGGCGATTTATTACACATTTTAAAAATACCTACTTATATTTTAACATAATTTGACAGACCATACAACATAACCTTTTAAAACCATACACTGCATTGTGCCACAGGATATTTTTAAATAGATACGGGAACAAATCGCGAAGTAGTCCGGCGCAAATGTTTAGATGCGAGGGTCCGCCCACGGCGTATCATTGTACTCATAAACTTGACAATGCATTATCGCTACAAGTTGATACATTCATTACCACGCTAGTAGAGTTTAACGTAAAAGGTTAAATTTATTTACCTTCCGGTTAATACAATTGACTTATGATTTAAAATTATGCAGTATGACGATTGTTATTAACCTTTATGGGATGTAAAGTCAGCGAGATATCGGGTTTTCCCAGGCAAGGTTAAGTGATCAGAATAGGCAAGTTTTGATTTTTGACAGCTCGGTAGCGCAGTCTCGTTGCGGGACCGCCAGTTCAAAACTCGCAAACGTACAAATAATTGTTAAGTGCCTGGATGTATGTCTATCTGCAAAAGCCTATAGGTGCTCATATTAAGAGCTTAAAAGAGATTAATGAAAAAAATATATAAAAGTGTATACTAACTTGAACAGAACCTCGATAGTGATAGAACATCAATTATACATAAGTTAAACCAAAGTAACATTAATATTATATCCGATATTAAAACCCCACAAAATATTGTCCGCAAAATAAATGAATTTGTTGAATAATATTGATTTTTTTTTACTAATAAAAAATATTTAGTTCACAGATAGATATCGACAAATTTATTGTTACTAATTTTATTTAATAGACTTCGAACAGAAGTTTATCGACGCTTTAAAATAAATAATTTATTTGTAAGAATGGACAAAGAAAACACCCCTAAAGTAAATATCTACATGACAAGATCATATTACAATTGTTGTTATTTTCAGAAAACACGTTGTCTGTCATATCTGATAAGTGTACTATTGTAATGTCATTAATCGTTATATGATTGTCTTCATTGCAATATTTGTAAGATAGTGTAGACTGTGACACTGATATTATTGTGATACTAATTTAGTGTTTACTGCTTTTGTTTTAAATATAGCTCCGAATAATTTTGCCCCAAAATTTCAGATTTAGGTACTTACTCGATAAAGGAGTAGCCAACAAGCCTAGCAGCGTGGGAAAAGAACGCGACAATGATGACGTTGACGTGGCCGATGCGGGCGGTGATGGCATCCGCCCCGTAAAGGAACGGGATGCTGCTCAGTGTGCCCACGGTCACGGTTATTCCTGGACATTAGTTGCTCTTGAGACAATAAACAGGTTATAATCAAAGTAATGAACATATAATGTCACTTTACTTAGCAACTATTGTTTGTAGGGTTTTACTTTTTAAGTTTTTACGAAAGATTATTTTTAAAGAACTACTTCAATGATGTTATCCAAATCAATTTTCAATAATAGCTATCTACTTACCAAGTAAAAAATTCGGTGCTCCCAATTCCTTTAGATATAAAAATAAGTATGATTCAATGAAACCCCAAAAATTTCCTAAAGCGAATAGGAAGAAGATAAATATAATAATATGTGGCATTTTGATAATGTTTATTAAGTCGCGTAACAAATTATCTGCTGGCAACTTGGCTCCCAGTGGCATTGCAGCTACAGTGACTGCTGATATTAGAAGTAAAATGTCGTAGGTATAAAAAGCAGCTGAGTAGTCTGTATAACCTGTAATAAACCGGTGTAAACATTCAGTATGGTATATTGACATTGAAGATAACGATTAAGATATTCGAACACATACCAACTTGTTTACTCCTCATATCTATAAGCATACCAGTGATAGGTGAAAATATCGCCATTCCAATGCTAGAAAACAATCTTTCCCTGCCAAAGTCACCACCGTATTTTTGAATCATCGTCAAAGCTATTGGATCCATTATCGTGACGCCTGCTGATAGCATTATAGTACCCATGAATCTCAGGAAGAAATAAATGTAGAAAGTTTTGTCATCACTTTCTTTGTAATCGGGTGGACAAATATCTGGACCACCCTTCCTGGAAATATATAAGCATGATTACATTTATAGCCAATATACAAATATAGTAGAACTTTATAAAATTAGATCGTACACTATTACCTAAAATCACATTTTTGAACCATACAATCCGCAGAAAGCGATTCAAGACGTTGCTGCGACAATTTTGTCATATTATGTAACATAACAAGACCCCCGCATCTCAGATCCTCTTTATCTAGAGCAGTTATATTTACCCCTTGCGCTATTAATAACTTCTCGCCAAATCTGGATCGAAAGTCCGTTACTGTGTCATTATCATCCTGAAAGCAAATCATTCTGTAACCTTATGCGTTCTTAAGTAATATCGTAGGATAACTGTAATAATCCGTTTTATTACAAAAATAGTTTCTAATTTGTCTCAGGCTAAAACATGAGTCTGTTTCAAGAAAAAAGTAAAAAAAAAGTTTTTACGTGGTAGAGCCATGCTGCAGCTATATTAGTAGTATAATTGTAGCACGAATGGGTCGGCTCAACCGGGGAAGGACCACGCTCTCACAGAATACCAGCGTCAAAAAGCAGCTTAACACTGCTGTTTCGTATGGTGAGTGTAGAGAACCGGAGACCCTTTTTACTGGAAACGAGGCATTCCATCTTAGTCCTCACGGGTGGCAACGCATCTGCATTTTGATTCGCAAACGACGATAAATGTAGGTGTCTATGGGCCACAGCAACCACTTACCATCAGGTGGACTGTGCGCTCGTTTGTCACCCTATATTATATATAAAAAAAAAACTATAAAACGTAAAGTATGGATTTCACAACAATCGACAAATTTTACGAAAACTGTGGCGACGCGGATAAGGAACTTCTTGTGACAAAGACGACGTTTTTACAGCCGAGACTTGCCAAAATTTGTACTAAGAACGATTATAGTTTTTAAATAAATTTTGTTAATTGAATAATAATAATTGAAATGTCATATAGATATCATACGTACGTAGTAAGGAATTATTATGATTTCTTTATATTTTCATTTACATTAAACAGCATTTAACATGAGTAAAAGTACAAAAAGCAGAAGAATTTGAAAGTTTCAAAATTTAGAAATAAGTGTATTTAATACAAACCCGCTCCATTTCGATTCCAAGTTGTTCTTTGGGTTCTCCTAAATCGTCGTGAACTTCTATCAGAAAGAATGCTGCATCGTTGTAATCTTCATCGTTATCTGTCATGTTTAGATAACTAAAAAAATAATCGGACTATGTTTAAAGTTCTTAATTTAAATTATTTGTTGTTTTTTTCATTCAGTACAAGCAACGGAAAATCACTTTTTCTTTTATCTTTGTTCAAAGTAACAAAAAAGTCTTGCAAAGTTTGTGCAAAAGTCTTCTTGGAAATATTAATAGTCATAAAATAACTTTTAAAACAGTTGCTTCGCTACCTCGTTGGTCTACTGGTCTACTGGACCTTGTGATCATCATGGGTTCGGATCCTGGGTCGGACCTAAGTCATTAATTGGATTTTTCTGTTAGGAAATTCTCAGCAGCAGCCTGGAGTCAAAAGTTGGCAATGTTTTACGAGAGTGAGGGCAAAGAGAGTGCATAGTCCTGTCAGATGGCTAGTCTCCGTGGAAACTGGCCGGCCTTGTCGAAATCCGATCTGGAGGTCATAAATATTGTAACTACTCACACCTTTATGAACAGTCGCGACTTTATCCCAGGTTAGTTTTAGGATACCTATTATGTCTGTTCTATTTTTTTTACATTTTGAGACTAACAATTGCAACAATCTTCACACTGAATTTGCGAAATATTAGTGACAAATCAGAGCATAGGTTCAGCATCACTTTCAAATAACTTTTAAATTGGTAAATTTGATGTTGTTTTACATTACCTGCTATTAGATAAGTTCGGAGGTTTAATTTTGTGACTTATATGGAAGTCCAAGTCATCTTTATCGTCAGAAGGATCGCTGGTCGGACTCTCCGTAGGACGTAACAGCAGGCAGTGGTCCACGCATCTGTCCAGGACGAAATCCACTTGTTCATCCTCATCAGGACATTCTCTGCTAGGGCATGGACTCCACCAAATCTTCAAATTAGTTTACAGGATATCTATTTATGTCCAGCCAATTGGTGAATTTAAAAATATAAAAAAAATTCGAAAAATTTAAAAAGTATGCCTGCCTCAGAATTTGACCTCTTTTTCTTATATATCAATTAATTGAATTTTACGATAGTTTAATTTAGTTAGAACAATAAGGCACTATTTTATGATCTTAATATGCATAAATTTCGCTTGATCCTACTAATTTAGAGACTCACGTTATGACACTAGTTAATATGCCCTGAGGCCGGATGAAAACGATTTGCTCAAATTCTTAGAGGACGACTTAATTCACAACTACGAACCGAGGGCCAAATCTTAAATGGTAATTTTGAAACAATTTTATTTATATTTATACCTCAACACTCTGTTTGATGGGATGACGCATAACGTACGCCGATGGTATGATCCCTGGTGTCTCTTGATGCGGTATCAATAGCAACGAATGATGAAAGCCAGCATTCAGTATAAGTGCTGTAATCACAACCGGTTTATATTCTCCAAATCGATCCACCAGAAATCCTAAAATAATAATTATAAAAATAAATTTTCTGATAAGGCTTTCTTGCATTCCAACCTTAAGTTACATACCTGTTATAGGAGGACTTAGAAAGGTGGTGAAGGGCAATGCTAAATACACAAATGATATTTCAGGCACAGTTAGTCCTATACTTTGCATGTGTATAGTCAAGTACGGTAGGAGCGACGCTGTAGCTCCGTACATCACAAATAATGTCACTTTTAACATAATTAAGTTGGGATTGATCCGCAACGAAAGTATCAGCCGTCTAAAGCATCCTAAAGATTTCTCGCTGCCTTCGTCCATGTTGTTATCGTCCTCGCAGTATTTTTTCGAAACGTTATCCCAAGACTTCGCCATATCAATACGTTTCACATGTTCATTACTAACGAGTTTGTCCGCCGAGTATATCTAATCGACTGTCGCACAGATCGTCGACAGAGGTGCCAGTGGTACGACGATTATTTACACAAGGATTATGAGCGTCGGTGGCAGCGGGAGAGCCAGCAAGGTTCCCGTGCTCCCGAGCAACTGCGGAGCGGCCAGCTCGTGACGGACGCGGCGGGCCAATTTACAAATAATAGCAAATTACCTTCGTTTAAGAAGTGTCACGGCGATTGGTGGGGATGTTGGTTAAATCGGCTGGCGATTCCAAGACCTTGTGGATAATAGCCGTGGACCGGGCGCTGTTGGTTATAGGCTTCTAGTTCCCTCGTTGGTGCCGGTCACGAATTAGCACGACTTTTCCTACAGACTCGTTTCTTGTAAGTATTTTTATTTTATTATATTATTCAACTGTTATTTTATATTTATTAAAATTTTCGAGACAAAATGTTTATTTATTTTTAGTATCAATTACTAATTTCATCATATTATATAACATCTATAAATTAAAAAGCCTAAGAAATTATCAGTGTGATTAATATTCTTTTCTTATTTAAGAATATTAATACAATCTTTATTTTATATTATAGTACCTGCACGGTATTGCCAAAATCTTGTTAAAATTACTAGATAAATAACTATATGAAAAAAAAAACTTGCAGAGCTTCATAGCAAAAGCTTACTGCATACTGACGATTACGGTAATTAAAATTATTTATAATTAAATATAATATAATTATTATTTATATTTAATAAAAATATATTATTATGATTATTTCATTTGGCGAGTAGTGGCGGACACAATCCCGTATCATCACGCAGCAGTGGACATGAGATGGTCTCTAACGAAGAAAGAATGAGTGCTAGACGGTAGACTCCATTTCTGCACTCCAAGTCTGTCTGGGTAGGTACCACCCTCATCCTATTTCTGCCGCCAATTATTGCCTTGACTGTTGTGTTACGGTACGGGTATAAAAATCCTATATAATATAATTATATTTTACGTCGTAGAAACACGCTGTAGCTATATATGTATAGCTGCGGCATGAATGGTTAGGCTAGACCGGGATAGAATCACACTCTCACAGAATACTAGCGTGAAACAGCAGAATAAGCTGTTTATCGTATGGTGAGTGTAGAAAAGCGGTGACTCTTTTTACTGAAAACGAGGCATTTCATCTTAGTCCTCAGGGGTGAGAACGCGTCTGCCCTTTGATTCTGAATCGAAGATATTGGGGATAAATGCAGATGTCTATAGGCCGCAGTATTCATGTACCGTCAGATAGACTCGCTTGTCACCCTCATGATATAAAAAAATTACTAGTTGTCAAGAATTACATTTTAGTGCTCAAAGGTGACAACGCATATTATGTAGCCTTCGTTTGAAGTTGGCCGCAGGTGTCCATGGACTGCAGTAACCGCTTACCATCAGGTGGAATGTAGTTCGTTTGTTAATTCGATATTATAAAAAAAAAGTTTTTATATTATCGAAATAATAATATTTTATACTGCACTTTGCTTGCACTGCATTTTGATCAAACTTTTGCAAGCTTATAATTAGGAACAGCTATAGAATCACTTCGGTTTCCGTCCGTCCGTCACAGCTACAGGCGATTTTATCTGTTTTATCTATTTATTCGACGAATTGTGTGATGTACAGCTGAATTTCGATTATGAGATTTTACATAGTAAATTTAGAAAAACTTTTTCCATCATGTGAAAGCGTAACGAAGCAGGAATTTTAACAATTTGCGGAATTTAAGTTATTCTTAGTTATTATTTTTCAAACCCGTTTCAGAAAAACGAATTCAAAATAATAAAATAAATGATTAAAATTTAAAGTATGCCATCTTTGTTTGATGCCAAAAATATCACAATATTTGAAACCGCGATAGGTGACGCTGTGGACTAGCTTTTAATAAATTTATTATGAATAACGTGAATCACCACCATCTACCGGACCAGTTAGCTAGTTCAGATCATAGGTCAGATAATTTCACATAAATGTCTATAAGTATCTTTTTAAAATGCAAATAATAAAGTATAATGCGTGATAAAGATATCTACCAGTGGTAACTGACATAGCCCAACTAATCAGTAAGCTGAAGAGGCAATGGTCCGGTCACATAGTTCGTGGAACCGACAAACGATGTTGAAGAGAGTTTCTCAAGTCTTTTAGGAGCCTGTGGCAGCCTCGTACCTTTAAGCGAAGTGTAGCGCCCCCTGCTAAGTGACGACCTGGTAAGGCATGCAGGTGGCACAGGACCTTATTTTGTTTTGTTAGTTTTGTCTGTCACGTATATTTTTATAATGTTTTTCAGTTACTCGAAATACATGTGTATTGTGATGTGGTTATGCAAAAGATGTAGCTCCTTTCATCCGTTATACTCGTGTCTGTACTTAAAATATTTAAACATATAAATATAAAATCTTTTTAACTAATAGAAAAAGAAAAAGTATAATACCGAAATAAATGCATTTCAAAAGTAATGTACAAGGCTAGTGAAGGCTTTCAGTACATTTCAATAAACCACTTTTCCGCGAATCAGTGACGCTAAACTTAAAAAAGGAATTTTCGTATGCTCCTAAGTAAATTACGTACATCTATCAAAATTAAATTAAATAAAGTTTGTTACAACTTTTTTGATACCAAGAAGTCCGAAAACAACATCATTCAAAAACTTCTTTCTTCCTTTGAAGTTCTGAAAATCTAAAATACTACATATCCTTAAAACTTCATTTTCTTGACACAAATTTTAATTTTGTCCCCAAAATCTTTGTGCAAAATCAAATAAATATTGGAAGAAAATAATAATATTTTTTCCGAAAATCTTTGTGCACTACCAATAAAAATATAAAAATAAATATAAGGAAGAATGTTTTTTTTTTATTTAACACTTTTTAAGAACAAAAGTATCTGCATTTTTTGGTTTATAATCATTCATAAGATTTGTGATGTTTTACCTTTAAGGAGAGAGAATTTTTTTTGCAAACCAGTAATGTGTTTATATAGTTAACTCTTCTATAATATTAAATAATACTTCTTATGAGTGCTTAATTTAGAGTTCTGACAGCCATAGGTAGGTAACTATGATGCGCCTCCCTCCCGAACCTGTGCCTGCCCATCGCACGAATATATTTACAAGATTTTATTTTATTTTACTAGGCTTTTTAATATAATGGAAAAATTTATTTATATTAAATAAAATTTTACCGTGAGATTCAGGTATTTTCTCGTGATAAAAGGTCTTACCTCAGGAAGCAGTCAGTCTAATCGGCTTATGAAATCTGTTCAGCAGGCGTAAATCGATAACAGGCAGTTTGTTAATGAATTATCATTAAGTATATAAGTTATGGTCTGCAGTAACTAATCTTTTTTATAGAATTGGGTCAAACGAGCATGCGGCTCATCTGATGGTAAGTGTCCAAAAAATCGTCCATGAACAAATGCAACACCAGGGGAGTTGCAGGTGCTATACCGACCTTTTAAACATGAGTAAGCTCGTTTCTTGAAGGTCTCTAAATCGTATCGGTCCGAAAAATCGCCGATGGTAGAGGATTTCACAAAGAATTCTTGCGAGAAAGAAAACTCCTAGTAAATCGCACACGTGTAGATGGTACCGTGAGTTTTGTCCTGGTGTGCGTTGGTGGAATTTGGGGCCTGGAATCAATCCGAACAATTCCTATGATTACTCCTCGTAATAAGTGCAATAGAAAATGCAAAGGAATGCAACATCTCTTCGCAACGCTAGTGAATCGAGCCGATCAGAAAGAACTCGGTAGTGGATGATTCGATCCGCTCTTCAATGAACGAGGTGAAGTGGAAGATGCTGGTACAATGGGAGCGCAGAGATGACAAAAGTATAACATGTGAGGCTGAACTTGCGCCTTGTAAAGTTGCAGACGGTGTGCTGGCATGAAATACTATCCCGCTCTGCTCAGCACGCCAAACTTTTACAGTTACAGGCTATTAAAGTCTACTGCTGCACATAAGCCTCCCTCATAAATTGCCTCATATGGGGGATAATTGCTATAGTTGCCACGCTTGGCAAGTGGTTTGGCAACCGCAGTTTTTTTTGAGTCGTTATTAGGAAGACGCTGTTGCCCATCTCCTGATTCGTTTCCAGCTGTCGCCTCTTACGACACCCACAAGATGATATGGGGTAGTGGATATTCTTACACCGCCATTACACGGTAAACTAGCTTTTTAGAGGCCAATCTAAGTGACCCCGGAAATGAACGTCATTCGATATGTCGATGGCCAGGATTTCGTTGCAGCAAGGGGAGTGCCCTGAAATTGAGGAGATACGTAAAAAGGGGTTCTTTTTAGCGGTATACTTGCAAAACTGTGTCTTCTGAGGATTAAACTAGACTAAATTTACTTGTAGATCGACAACAAAGTGGTGAAGACCAGCCGACCGTCTGGTTGGTCGATAGTTTATGCATGTAATTCCTGCGCACAACTTCCGAAATGTATCCTATAAAATGCAGTGAGGCTGGCTACTCTGCGCCTGTGCTTGAGGCTGACAAGATTGGTTTCAACCAAATCAAGATTACCAATGAGGCCCTTAGCACGTCTCTCCATATGTGACAGCAGTACTCCATGTACGACCTTACTTGCACTTTATTTAAGGTAAGAAGTCCCCGTTGTGAAGTACCGTCGCATTCTTGCAAGGACACCTAGTTTCCTTGCGGCTGTTTTGCCCCCGGAGTTAATGAACCGCCCATAGTTGAGGTTCGGAGAAATACCAATCCCTAACAACTGAAGGCTAGTGTACTCCTAAGATACATTCTGAAAAGTAGGAGCCAGGGTGAGTGGGCTCCGTTTAGCGGTTAAAAGACACGTTAGTGTTTTGGATACGTTGATTCTCATGAGATTGGCATCCCTACATTCGGAGACTGCAGGCAGTGACAGATTCGCACGCTCAACCATAGCTTATTTTTCGGACTGGATCCCCAACTGACCGGAGCATTCG